GCTAAAACAACTCACTGAGTGACTTAACTAAAAAGAGATTAATATTTTTCAAATTACGATCTTTTCTTTTGACGATTTATTATGTCAGGCAACATCTTTTGAAAATCTTTCTCAAACAATTGCACACATTTATATAATAATCTCTTGGTCGAGTGATCTAAACCTTTTCCCTCTTTACTGCACTTCGGCTTACTGCGTTATTTGATTGATTGTAAATTGCCGGACTATTTATTGTTTTGTTAGAACCCTTTTCTATTTTTCATTTGAGTACAAAAGAGTTATAATATGAGATTATGCTGAAACAGCAACTTTCGCAATTTATCTCTATTATAACTTCTTTAAGAGAATTAAATGGAGGAACTCAAATTACCCTTTTATTTGTGTTGATTTTGTATTACGGTCGAAATTTGAAACGTAGAATAATATATTTGATAGATGCGCATCGATTAAAATAAAATATGTTCTGGAAAATGTTTGAAAATGCATTTTTATTGATAATCTACGATCCACCATAAAGGAAACTGGTAAAATTGTATTTTGAGGTGCTCTTGTTGAAAATTGTTACACTTATTTATACTATTAATTGTTTTGCAAGAACCCTCTTCAATTTTTTATTTGCGGTGCAAAAGAGTAATAATATGAGATTAATCCCGATTTATTTCTATTATAGCTTCTTTAAGAGAATTAAATGGAGGAACTCAAATTACCCTTTTATTAGTGTTGATTTTATGTTATGGTCGAAATTTGAAAAGTAGAATAATATGCTTGATAGATCCGCAACGATTAAAATAAAATATGTTCCGGAAAATGTTTGAAAATGCATTTTTATTAATAATCTACGATCCACCATAAAGGAAACTGGTGAAATTGTATTTTGAGGTGCCGCTGCTTGAAAATTGTTACACTTATTTATGCTACTAATTGTTTTGCAAGAATCCTTTTCTATTTTTTATTTGCGGTGCAAAAGAGTAATAATATGAGATTATGCTGAAACAGCAACTATCGCAATTTATCTCTACTATATCTTCTTTAAGAGAATAAATTGGAGAAATTAAAACTGTACCCTTTTATTAGTGTTGATTTTGAGTCATGGTCGAAATTTGAAGCATAGAATATATTTGATAGATGCACATCGATTAAAATACAGACAGTAAAATGAAAAATTTTAATAATGCATTTTTATTGCTAAATTTTTTTTTATAATGTGCACGGTGCACAGTAAATGAAAGTGAATGCTCTTAACCGGTTAACATCCAGCGTCATATATTTAGGACAGTTCCTTTTTTCGAAAACATTCATTGTGGTGGGAAACAATTTTCAGCATTTTCACTTATCTGGGTGAATTAAAAGATTCTCAGATACCACTATGATTTAGTTATTTCTGATTAGATCTACAGTTATAAGGCGCAAGTACTTTCTGATCTATCAAAGTAACACAGTTTAGAGCAAGCTGCTCAATTTATTTTTGATTCCTTTTTAGTTATTCAAGCAAAGAGCTTGAAACATTCATAAAAGCAACTCCATTGCCTGCTTACCTCATTGCTCAACCAAAACTGTTCAAAAATTCCAGATGAATGGGATAGGGGCCGCTTCACGGCCCAGGTGCCCAGTGAAATTTAAGCACTAGGACTAGGATCTATCAAAGACTTTTTGATTGCCCTAACAGTAGAAAAACCAATTAATTTCGATAATNAAAACTTAAGTTGACAACCATGATAGTAACGCATATTAATATATGTGCTTAATTTTTGTAAGAATAGTGGTGATTAAAATCATTTAAAAATTAAGTTTATAAAAGAAAAAATAGTATATATTTACTACCACTTTAAATATGAAAATAAAATCTTCGGGAAAATCCGGAAGAGTTTGCAGGTATGAAAATTGTAAATTGAGTTGCCGCTTGTTGAAAATTGTTACACTTATCTATACTTTTAATTGTTTTGCAAGAACCCTTTTCAATTGTGGTACAAAAGAGTTATAATATGAGATTATGCTGAAACAGCAACTATCGCAATTTATCTCTATTATAACTTCTTTAAGAGAATTAAATGGAGGAACTCAAATTACCCTTTTATTTGTGTTATGGTCGAAATTTGAAACGTAGAATAATATGTTTGATAGATGCGCATCGATTAAAATAAAAAATGTTCCGGAAAATGTTTGTTGATTTTGTGTTATGATCGAAATTTGAAGCATCGAATATATTTGATAGATGCACATCGATTAAAATACAGACAGTAAAAGAAAAATGTTCGACTATGCATTTTTATTGGTAACATTTCTTTTTAATAATGTTCGCGGTCCATAGAAAATTAAACTAAGTGCTCTTTATAACTTTTGAACTAGTTATTAGATTTTCGTTCTATAAACTGTTATGATTATGTTTAGAACGAATGATCTATGGAGTATTTGCAAGAAAGGAAGCATCAGAAATGGTAACTTTTGTGCAGTTTTCTTTAATGTACGTAAAACTATTTTTATGAATTCATGATTGGTATAACGATATTTTTGGCAAACAAACCTGACAATATTTATTATTTAAAAATTTTTATTGAGCAACTACTATATTTAAATAATTTAATAATACATAAAAAAAATTTTAAAAATTGTATCTATCTCAACTAATAAATATCTATTTTAAACACTCCAACTTTTGAGGTCCCGCGGTGGACTGATCGTTGAAACAAGTTTACTGGCAGATTATTGAAGTCAAGCAACACTGGCTGAGGTCAGTGTGCGGGCGGGTGACCACTTGGATCAGTCTGCGTAGGGACCGAGGGTGTGCGGTATTGGTCCTCGTTAAACTGTTCTACCGTAAAGTGCTCGACTTCGCGTGCAGGTAGTCCGGCTACAGAGGCGGAGGTGCCATACCCTCTGCAGAGAATCAAAATCGTGATGGCATGTCTTTGGATCATTAGCTGGGATGTTTCCCAGACCGTCGCCAGTAGCCCATTGTACAGCTCTAGTGCGACGTAAATGAACTCATCATATCAGTTACTTAGCATTTTAACTCGTTCACGCCGGGTTGACCCATCGGTGGGTCACGCGAGATTGTCTCATCTTGGCAGCGCACCGGAATAAAAACTGGTAACAATAAATTTCATTTTATTGTTTTTTTCCAGGAATAATAAAAATCCATAACTACCAATTGTTTTTAACGGATGCAGTTTTTATATTGAATTGCTTCTTCGGCGTTATCAATTTCCTTACTGTGAATTGTATATTTGCCAACTCTTCCGGATTTTCCCGAAGATTTTATTTTCATATTTAAAGTGGTAGTAAATATATACTATTTTTTCTTTTATAAATCTTAATTTTTCTTTTATATTTTTTAATGATTTTAATCACCACGATTCTTACAAAAATTAAGCAGATATATTAATATTCGTTACTATCATGGTTGTCAACTTAAATTTTCTCATACAACGTATGTGTTTGCTTAAAATTGAAGTTTTAATTCCATTTTAATACCACTGGGAAAAATGATAATGGAAGGGATTAAAAGTTGGNTTAAAAATTGTATCTATCTCAACTAATAAATATCTATTTTAAACACTCCAACTTTTGAGGTCCCGCGGTGAACTGATCGTTGAAACACGTTTACCAGCAGATTACTGAAGTCAAGCAACACTGGCTGAGGTCAGTGTGCGGGCGGGTGACCACTTGGATCAGTCTGCGTAGGGACAGAGGGTGTGCGGTATTGGTCCTCGTTAAACTGTTCTACCATAAAGTGCTCGACTTCGCGTGCAGGTAGTCCGGCTACCGAGGCGGAGGTGCCATCCCTTCTGCAAAGGATCAAAATTGTGATGGCATGTCTTCGGATCATCCTCAGGGATGTTTCCCAGACCGTCGCCAATAGACCATTGTGAGGCGTAAATGAACTCATCATATCAGTTACTTAGCATATTAAAGTCATAAAAAGAATTTTGAAGATTCATCGAGAGACCACATTTCTTTTTATGTTTTCAGCTGCATGAGAATTAATTTTGAACGAATATTTCCGCGTTGCAGATTTTAAAACTGCAATCTGTTTCTGTCTATAAGCTACAGTTTTTTTTATGAAATTGAAAAATATTGTCAGAATCAACATTTTTTAAAATTTACTCGAGTGAATCCTACGTGTCTCTATTTTTCTGCAATACTGAGTTGAGTAAACAAGTGCATATGTTCTTTTATAAATGTGTACATTCAGACAAAAAAATAAACTAAACTAAAAAGATCATTTTTTTAAAAAAAGTAGATTTGTTGCGTTCCAAATAAAACTAAATTCAAATTTGAAATCTCCGTACCCGAATTAGGGAAAAGTAAGTATTTAAGAATTATTTCCCAGTTAAATCTGAAACTTCTTAATAACTTTATTACACCTTATAAGTACTTGTATAAACACAAAAAAAGTTTATTCCCTATTGTAATCTGAAAATTTGTAAATTTTTAGAGACACTTTTGTAAATTCTTTAACCTTGTGAAACTTGTATAAACACATTAAAAAAATTTATTTCCCAGTGTAATCTGAAATGTCGTAATAATTTTATGACACGTTATAAGTACTTGTATAAATGAAAATAAAACATTTATTTCACAGTGTAAACGGAAACTTCTTTATAATTTTGTGACTCATTATAAGTACTTATAATTGCAACATAAAATTTATTCCTGAGTGTAATCTAAAGCATTGGAATTTTTTGTGTTACACTAGCGGTACACATTTTTTGTATTTTGACCTATTTTTTGAAGAAAAAAAAAATAGTTTCTGTATTTTCAATATTTATTTTTTAGCAACTTTTCTAAAAACGGCTATATAACACGTTGTTTGTGTTTATGATAATCGACTGATGCTTCAAAAGCTGTATACATATATCATGCACACCTCGTTTTTTTTGTTCTGTTCTCTTGTCATTTATAACTGTGATATTGTTAATCATTGCTGTAAACTGTGAATTAGTAGTTGATGATATCTGAAAGATCAGTTCACATTCGAAACTAATCAACAACTTTTATCACACTTCAAGGAAATTATCAGGAGAGATCTTTGAGAGATTTTTCTAAACAGAATTTTTTTATTTTTATTTTTATTTGCTACTGACTGACGATTAGAAATTTTTTCTTGCATTCTAAGGAAATGTTGAATGTTTGTTAAACCAAGAATATTTCAGTTCTCACTAAAAATCGAACATATTTAAGTTCGAAAATGGGTCTGGAAATATTTGTAATTTGTGTAATTGTCACCTTATCAAATGCCATGCCTTTATCCAGACGATTAGTAGATATGACACATGTTTTCAAAGATAACACTTCCGGTTATCCTGGCATGAAAGAATTTAAAATTGATGATTTGCATAATGGAACATCAGAAATGATTGGTGGTCTTTGGTGAGTACTATAAACTAAATTCATTAAAATTTTATCATTTTGTTGACTTCTTTATAATCATTGCAACTCAACTCAATAATAAAAAAATTTTGCTAGTTTTATATCAGTTCTAATAAACAACTTTTCCCAAAACTTTTCACAGAATTGAAATTTAGTGTTAATGTGGAAATTAAATCGGAGTTTATTTAAAGAAAGTAATTTGAACATAAAAAATTATCGCAAATGCTAACTTCTCACATTGTTCAATAAAAATTTTTTTCAAAATTGTTTATTAATTTGCGTTTTGTTCATAAAAGTGCGTATACTATTTTCATATTCGCTTCATTTGTTTTAAAACTATTATGAATTTCTATCTGCGAAAGTTCAAACATGCCATAAACCTCTAAAAATGTGTTTCTTTAAATTTAAGGAGTTATAAAAATACTGTATGATCACTTATACGTTGATGTTTTTATATAAGGAATAAAAATGTTTTAAATATGTTTCTTGTAAAATCGGTTAATTAGGATTTAGTAATTATATTTTTATTAACATAACAACATATTCTGCATACATCCAAATAAAACTTGTGAAGATTTTTTTTCTAAATTTCTTGCGATGCGTTTATTTTAATGCAATTCAGTTTGAAAATTTTTTCGAAGATTGAAGAAATCGAATCAAAGAAACGCGTTTCAATTGTTTAAGGATGTAAGTTTCCCAAATAGTTACAACATTCATCAACAGATGACTCTGTTGACTAAGGAAAAAAAAACTATGAAGCAATGTCTTCTGCTGCATTTCTGGCAGCAGTGGAAAGTTTTGTACATACTTCTATTACATTTGTTCTTAGTATTATACATGCAAATCGTTTGACTTTTGAAAAACAAATTAAAGCAGGGATGTCAATAGCTTTGCTTTCTGCAAAAGTTATAATAAATTAGGAAAGAATTAAAATGTAAAACTTGTAGAATAAGGAAATTAAGTCCACTCTTTAAAAGTGTTACTACGAAATAATCGCAGTAAGGTTTATACGTGATCATATAACACTTTAAATATTTAATTTTTTTGTGGTTGAGGTGAAAAATTTATTAATAATAAAAATTATAAACTAAAAACAACTTCAATTTCGTCAATAAAATATTTTTTCGTACAAAACGAAGCAAGTTGGGGGCTCTGTTAACCCTTTCGCGCCGACTGTCACAAATACGTGACAGCAAAAAACCGTATCAATCAGGGTAAGAAGATAAAATTGGTAATCAAACTATTTCTTTAGCAGTTTATTTGTGGGCGGAGTTATAATTTTTTGATTTATTTAATTCACCATTACTTTGTTCAAAATAAAACTATTTAGTTATACTTTGAATTATCATTGATTATATATATGATTAAACTAACAATAATTAAAATAAAAGCAAAGTAAGTCTGTAAAATTAGTAACGACTACATTTAAGTTACCATTTTTTATTTAATTGCAACTTGTTTCTGATTTTGTACGAATGCTTTTCTGAATCACCCGTCCCCAAGGGGTTAAAGTTCCTTTCAACTATGTAGCACCATTTTTGAAGAACTTCGTAACTATAATTTAATTTTTTTATGAATTAAACTAACTTTTTATCTTGTTTTTTCAAATCTTCGACATATTTAATTAACTGGTATTTTATAATATTTCATTTATGCATAAAAATGTTCCATTCAATATATTAAAAACTAATCACAACGTTTCAGGTTGCAGATGGAAGAATATTCATCTGGTACACACATCGGCACTCACATGGACGCTCCTTCCCATTTCATCAAGGGAGGAGCAAACATCGATGATATTCCACCTACCGAATTCTTTGGTCCAGCTGCTGTCATAGACATAACATCCAAATCAGCTCTAGATTCAGATGCGGAAGTTACCGTTGAGGACCTTCTTTTGTGGGAATCTGCTACGGGACAAAACCTGAATGGTACAATTCTATTGCTCAACTCAGGTTGGGGGCAAAAATGGAACGATCGGCCTGCGTACTATGGTAATGAAGAAAATGGTGCCACGGACCTTCATTTTCCTGGATTTTCTCCAGTTGCGTGTCAGTGGTTGGTTGAAAACCGTAGCATTAAAGGGATCGGTACAGATACGCTGTCTCTGGACAAAGGTTCAACCACTAGCGAGTTTCTATCTCATGTCACTGTGCTAGGAAATGGAATTTTTGTTTTGGAAAATGTAGCCAATGTCGACAAAATTCCAATTTATGGATCAATGCTGTACGTGTTTCCAATGAAAATCGGCAAGGCAAGTGGTGCGCCAACACGGATTGTGGCTTCCATACCAGAAGTAATTTATGAATTGCCTAGTGAATAAGTAAAGTTATAAAAATACCGAATCCCACTTTGGGAACCGATAAATCATAAGTGTTCTCTATGCAAATCAACTAAGCAAAAGAAGCGCCAATTTAAATTGTCCCTTCTATTCCAAAATTTATTCAGAAATTACTAGATAAATAAGTGAAATTGCAAATAAAAATGTGATTTAACTTTTTGTAAAGATGAGTGAAATTGAATGTACTACATAGATGCCAACTGCTCCGGACGTGCCATAATAATTTAAAAAACGGTAAACAACTACATACTAAAATTTTCAAATATTTCACTAGTTCTGTTTACTTTTTAAATGGTGTCGCATGACTCATACGTTCAAAAGTGTCGAATTATATAAGCCTTGGAGTTATTTACAAATAGTGGTGGATAGAAACGTAATAAATTGAACTTATTAGACCAAGATTAACACATTAATAAACTACCACTCGAAAATATTTATTTGCTGTCAGGAGCAAGTTGACATCTCTGGTACTATATATATCTATCACCATAGCTTTCAACTTTTATGCTTTTTTACAAAAAAATTTTTTTAACTATTATTTAAAAATTTATAGGTCATTAGGACTTACTCATTACTTCATATTTTTTAGTCAAAGTTTAATAAATAAAATTTTAACACCACTATATAAAAATGCAATTATATATAAATATAAAAAGAACTGGTAATCACAGGGTGAAAATCCTACCCCATCCTCCTTCTATTACCCCCAATAATTTCCACCACAAGATAAATGGTGAAAAAACCACAAGTGTTTCAGCAACCCAGTTACATATCTGACGATTCTATCAAATTATTATTCATACTTGATTTCTAATTTTAAAAAAATTTATTTGATATATTTTTAACTACCACTACATTTAAGCAATTTTAATATACATAATAAGGACCCGGTTGAAACATGTTGATAGGTTATGGGTTAATCATGTTAGAAAAAAGTAAATTAGGTTTTTTCCTACAATGTATATATTTAATAGTTAATTTGTTACCACCAGGAAAAGGCTTATTTGAAGAGCAGTAGATGTTTTTTTCTTTCATCTCAGAGTCATTTTCAATTGCATTTTTATTTTCTAATGATATACATAGATAAATTAGAAAAAATATTTTTTTTTATCTCAGAATAAACCTTTTTTATTTTGAAATATCACCAAGTAAAGAAATGTGTCTTGAAGAGAATCTTTACCTTTTCCCATTTATTTCATTTTATTTTCTATTTATAATTGTGTGTATATATACAGAGATGCCAACTTGCTCCGGACAACAAAGATATATTTTGAAGTGGTAGTTCATCAATTGGGATTCTTGGTTTAATAAGTTCCATTTAGTAGATTTTTATCCACCACTATTTCTAAATAATTCGTAGGCTTATATTATTCACCACTATTAAGATATATATCATGCTAAACCTCTTAAAAAGTCAGTAAAAATAGTCAAATATTTGCAAAATTTACTTTGTAGTTATTTTAATTATTTTGGCGTGCCCGGAGCAGTTGGCATCTCTGTATCATGGAGCTAGGAGTAGATGGAGGAGACACTAGCAGAAATTCGTGAAGCCGAAAGCTCGGCAATGTTAACCGCGAAATTTACCGTCGGCCATCTTACTTACTTCAAAACATTGGCAGTTGTAGCTCGTTTATGCTTGAATTGTCGTATGTTCGGACAGTTATTATCATTTTTATTTTATTCGTTATTCGAGTAGTCTTACTTTGTCTTATTATTTTTTCTTGGACTTCTTATTATTTTAATTATATTATTTTAATTATGACTTCTTGCATCTTAAGGTTTTATGTTACTTTATAAAAATTTCAGCTGTAGTTTTATTTATTTCTGTCGAAGTTATTCATCTGAAAATTGATATTTTTTAAAACCAGAAAGTATCCCATTGCATTCCAAATATGAAATAGATAAAAAANAGACCATATATTGTGACACCGCAGGATTCAACGAAATTTTTACGTTCGAAAACTTAAGAGAAGACATAAACCTCAGGCCGATTGCAGCTCATTTTTGTAGTGACATAATTTTAACTAAAATACAAAATATTTGATTTCCTTTTATTCCAATTACCAGAAAGAACCACCTTAAAGATTAAATACAAGATGAATGGGAAAAAGGCCGCTAACGGCCCCAGGCGCCCAGTTATATTTCGATGATGATGATAGACAGGAGCCTAAGATTAATTAGTTAGAGCCCATGACGGGGCTGATGCGTTATAATATACATAATATAATACAGATGAACTAGGTAGAGCCCCAATCAAATCCCTCAGGTGAATTAGTTAGAGCTCCACCGGGCTGATGCTAAGCTAAACACCACATATGAGAATGAGAGTTTCGTTTTTCAATCATGTGAATGCCACTAAACTACCACTAAATTTATGAGTTTTTGATATACATAATATGATACAGATGAGTATAATACTGCATACCTGCCAACTCTTCCGGATTTTCCGGAAGATTTTGTATTCATATTTAAAGTGGTAGTAAATATATACTATATTTTCTTTTATAAACTTAATTTTTAAATGATTTTGATCACCACTATTCTTACAAAAATTAAGCACATATATTAATATGCGTTACTATCATGGTTGTCATCTTCACTCTTGGTTTAAACTAATTTGTGACTTCTGCGTCTTCGCTCGCCACTCTACCCTTCTCTCCATCGACATCATTACAGGCGCCCACCGCCCACGGGCATTACCTCAGATGAAGAAGTCAATTGTCCGCTTCGCGGACAGGCACTTTGTTCTCTACTCCAGTTCAAGATCATGGTTGTCAACTTAAGTTTGCTCATATACAACGTATTTGTTTGCTTAAAATTGAAGTTTTAATTCCATTTTAATACCACTTCGAAAAATGATAATGGAAGGGATTAAAAATTGGCAGGTATGTGATAGAACCCCTATCTAATCCAACGCCTCCTATAACTGAAGGCCTCCACAAGGTTTTTTATAGGTAGTCCAATCAGACCACTGTGAAGGATATCCACTTTCCGAACGAGTCATTTAATACAAAATTTAGTTAAAATAAGAAAGTGGTAGCAAATATATGACTAAAAATTTGTTTTATTTATGAATATTATTGGTTTGAATTATTCACTTGTCAACCACTACTCAATTCCACTACTCACTTCAATTCTCAAATATATATGATAAATTTCTCTCAATTACTTTTATAAAAGGTTTTGGGCTCCTGCGCACAATTGCTTCACTTTTTAAACAGTCTGCGCGGACTACTTATAAAAGACCGTGTGGAGGCTTTTTGATGAAGGAGGTAGTGTCTAATCCCGAAGATGAATTAGTTAGAGCCCCTCACGGGGTTGATGCTAAGATAGCCACCACGTATGAGAATAAGAGTTTCGTTTTTCAATCATGTGATTGCAATGTTATTCGGACATCTCGCTGTCGTACATGTACGTTATGTAACTTATTAATCGGATTACTTTTTTTGTTGTATATATTATTAATTTTATTGCTTACTTGCATTTCTCGATATCATACTTCCGTTGCCTAATGGCAAATAGTTTCGCTGAACAGGCAAGTGCCGCAAGTCAGATACCTCGCATAATATACAATTACATTAAAGCATTAACAAACTCGATGGGATAAACATGTTGGCAAAAATTAAATTATTTTCCTACAATATTATTTCAATAGTTAATTCACTACCGCTGGGAAAAAGCTTATTTGAAGAGCACTAAAGTTGTCAAGCCTGCAGTTAAATAAACAGGTATATGCGTCGAAAAATAAATGCTTAAAATTCCAAATTTGAGTATAGTATATGAATCATTTCCTCTTGTTTTATTTCTCCCTCTGAGAAACTTCATTCACAAAAAGACGAAAGTTGGCAGTTATGATTTCAATGCATTAGCATACCTGCCGAGTTTTACGCTTTTCACAAAAGTGTTTTCCTAATGGCAGGGAATTGTCCATTTAATTGAGATTGCATGCTGGTGTTTCGTAAAATTTAGCCAGAGTTAAATATTTACGATTAATTGGCATTTAATTTAAAATCTCTAGAGATAGCAAGCCTATTCCATATGTGTTTAAATTATTTATGCCGATAAGAGCGTTTCCCAAATTCGAAATAGCTCCTCAAGTGCTTTTGAAACAGTACTTTCGTTAATTTAATGTTAAACCTTTGTATTCTGAGTACTTTAGAATGATGCTTGAAGTAATATAAGTACTAAATCATTCAAGATTTGCATAATACAGTATTTAACTCAGTTTTTAAATTTCTTTACATAAAGTGTTTATTAATTATTAGCTATAAAAACGTTTGATTTTAGATTGCCAAAAATTTTATTACAAAGCTCAGCAGAGGCATCTATTTCATAATAAATTTGTAATTTGAAGAGTACGTAAAGTTAGACACCAACTACGTACACCTTCTAGACTTATTGTAATACAATTTTTCATGATTATTACTACGTAAAGTTATTATCAAAAACAGGGCAATATTATCGTTAAGACAATCTAGAACTGTAAGAAATCTAGTTCTTACAGTCCTTAAAAGATTTAAGGTAAAATTTTTGCTATGAAGAAGTTACAAATTTCTTTTTATGAGCTTTTTCATTTAAATTAAAAAAAAATTCGATTCACAAGATTTCGAAGCTAGATATATTTATTTGGAATTATTAAGCATCATGGTAAATGCGAACTAGCTAAAATGCATCTTATTTCTTAATTTTGCGACTACTTTTTAAGTTTTTTTTAAGAATCGTATGAACCTTGTTGAGAAATAAAAGTACAATTTTAAATGCGCATGAACAGTTAGGCACATTTGGTCGCGGAACAGTGACATTTACGGACATGGGTTTCCTCCCTATGTTTGTAATTACAGTATTATTTCCCCCTGTAATATAGAACTACTTCTCGTACGCTATTTAGTCCCGGCGAGAAATTTTTACAGTCAGTCAAACTCGAACTGCAGTGAGGTAAAGGTTTTCAAATGTTTATCATGGTGTGAAAACTTCAAACTTATTTAACCCCTTGGGGACGGGTGATTCAGAAAAGCATTTGTACAAAATCAGAATCAAGTTGCAATTAAATAAAAAGCGGTAACTTAAATGTAGTCGTTGCTAATTTGACAGACTTACTTTGCTTTTTCCTTAATTATTGTTAGTTTAATCATATATATAATCAATGTTAGTTCAAAGTATAACTAAATAGTTTTATTTTGAACAAAGTAATGGTGANGGAGAAAGCTTGGATGGATGGATCTCTTATTTAACTTAAAAGACTAAATTCGACACTTTAAATCAAATTAAGAACCCTTCAAAACCGCCCTCCAAGCTTCGTTTAAAAGCATGGATTAACTAGAAATAGAAAGATGTATGAGCGCACAACGACGCAGCAAGTAAGATGGCGGAAAACTCTCGCGGTTGCTTCACCTTGAAAGGAGTGGGCTAATGGGAGTGTCTTCTCCACTTACTCCTAGCTCCATGCTCTGTATATATACTAAATTTACGAATATCAAACAGATTTTGCTAGTTTTATAGGAGGTTTAGCATACCATATCTGAAAAGGTGGTGAATTATATAAACATATGAATTGTTTAGAAATAGTGGTGGATAAAAATCTATTAAATTGAATTTATTAAACCAAGAATCACAATTAATAAACCACCACTTGAAAATATTTATTCACTGTCAGGAGCAAGTTGGCATCGCTCTCTGTATATAAATAAAACTATTTTTGTATGATCTATATTGCATTAATTTCTTCAAACCATTTTAGTAACGATAATAATATTAAAAAAATTAAAAATTTACTTAAATTATGTGTTTCTAATATTCTTGGTTTCGCCGGTTACCGGTGACCTCCTGGGTTGCGCTACGAACAAACTCAGTACCGGTCACCGGTGACCCCCATGGTATTCCACGTGTTGAATCATAAATTTTAATTTTTAGAAAATAAACTTTTAAAAGCATAATTGTTTGCTTGTCAGGAATACTTTATCAGATTTTGCATCCTGATAACAATTAGCATTACAGTTAACTTTTCAAGGAGAGCTACCTCTGTAAAAAATCAATAATGCACTATAGTTTAATAAAGTATTCTAACAAGTTCTATTTGGTGATTCAGTACAGTGATTACAAACTTGGAGGGGAGGAAGGGACATCGTTATTATGTTGAGAATTGCGTAGCAACACATGATCAATACTGTCATCATATGCCGCTAAGGGGGTTTCCCAAATTCGTAATAGCTGTTCATACGCCTTTGCAACAGCACTTTCATTAATTCAATGTTAACTCTTAGTACTCCGAGTACTTTAGAATGCTGTATGGACAAATATAAGTACTAAATCATTCAAGATTTGCATAATACTGTATTTAACATGAATTTTAAATTTATTTACATAAAGTGGTTACTTGTTGTTAAGCTATAAAAATTCTTGATTTTAGAGTGATTATATGGCAGCATCGGAGTGCAAAGGGATAGTTTTGTGCAAATAATTATAGTCAAAAATTTCATTCCAAAGCTCAGAAGCAACTATTTCATATTAAATTAGTAATTCGGGGAGTGCGAAAAGTCAGACACCAAATCGTTAAACTACGTAAACCTTCTAGGCTTCCTTTAATGTAATTTTCGATGACTATTACTACGTACAATTATTATCGAGAACAGGGAAAAATTATCATTAAGACAATCTAGAACTGTAACAAAGGACTGGAAGAAAATTGGTTCTTACAGTCCTTGAAAGATATAAAGTGTCATTTTTTCTCAGCCCGGCACATTTAGTCGCGGTACGGTGACATTTACGAACATGGGTTTAATCCCTTCTAAGTTTGTAATTACAATATTGAATCCCCCTGTATAATAGAATTATTTCTCGTACGCTATTTGGTCCCGGCGAGAAATTGTTGCAATCTGTCAAACTCGAACTGCAGTGAGGTAAAGGTTTCCAAATGTTCATCATGTTGTGAAAACTTCAAACTTGTTTAATAAAAATAATTTAAAATTAATTGAATGAAAATTTAAGCACCCTTGAGAAAAATTAGTCTCCACTCTTTAAAGTTTTCAATGATATGGGTACTTTGTATTTGGTGAGGTACCCTAATGGATACCTTCGGTCTGAAGAGTTTAAACTTTAAAACTTTTTTCATTAATTTAAAAATCACTCAATTATTTTAAAAATTATTCAGAATATATTTTATTTAGAAATTTGAAAAAAAATACAAACTTGATCACATTTATAATCTAAAATTTAGCACATCTAGTGTATTTTTGAATGTTATTAAATTTAAGCATGAAAATTTTTAACGTGTTTCATAATTTTCTTGAGAAGAACATTGTTATAATTTAATAAAAATTCATTATAAGTTCAAAATTTTACACACATTTTATGTTCTTTTAATAAAACTGTTGATGTAAAAAAACAAAAACAATAGCATACCTTGAGAAAATGAATTTGAGTTAATATTACAAAGATACAGTTCGTATGTGAAAGCACCCATCTTCCCTATGCTATTTGTTATTACACAACTGAATGCATTGTTTGCATTATTCGATTGATTCTGACTTATTAAATACTACTTTCCTTATATTTTTTGTAAGATATTCGTGCTTCTGCAGCTAAGTTTTTATTTTCTTCGTTTCCTTTAGCTGTTTCGAGTTCTGTTGTTTCATTACCGTCAGTAATTTCAAACGTCTTCTTACTACTCCCCGAGGAACTGTTCCCAGTTGGTTTTGCCGAAGAACTGGCTTCAGGGACTAATTCGGATTCTTGCCTCTCCGAATTCTTTCGTTCTTTTTTCCATCTTTTAAATTCTAACCATTCTGAATGACCTTTGCTTTTTAAGTGAGCTAAGGCATTTTCTGGTCCAGTAAAGCTCGTACGACAAAGTTTGCATCTTAAATCCCCATCTACGATTTCTATTGCGTTTTCAGGATCGAAAGAAGCCAACTTCTGTATCATCTTCCTCTGCTTGACTGTCTTTTTGTGTGTTTTGCTGGACATGTGATCCCGAAATGGTTCTAAGCCGCTGAATACTTTGTCGCAGTCTTCGCATTCAATAATATCTGCAGTAGTATCATCATCAGCTTCTGATGAATCAGATTCATCACTTGCTGCTTGGGCGCTTGAGTTCATTTTTATAATCTGTTTAAGCTTGTCTACATTAACTTTCCCACCCTCTTTTGTCTTTTCCAATATCTTGCTGCTTGCCACTTTTCGTTTGTGACGCTTACTTCGTATGTGAAGGCGGTAAGACTCCGGTCCGTTAAATTCTTTGCTGCAAATTTCACATTCCTTGTAGATCTGGTTCCGATCTAAGCTGAAATCTTCATCGGCTGAATCCTCATTCTCATCCTCCTCTAGGTCTTTCTTTAGCTTTTCCTTCCGCAACGCTTTCAAATGTTTCCCACTTTTTTCATGCTGCTTAAGTGACTTGAGACCAGAAAAGTTTTTATCGCAAACATCGCATGTATATTCCCGATCAAAGTCACTGCTCTCTGAATCCGAGGTTAAAACTTCAGTTTCTAAGACACTTCCAATCGTTGAGTCGGGAACCGAACCTCTTTTTGTATTTAAGGCGCCATTTTCTTTAGACGATGTTTCGCCGTTTGTCTCCATATCAATCTGCAATTTGAAAATGATAAAGCTTAAGAAAAATTTTTTTAAATTCAATGAATAAAATATGTTTTAATGACAAATTAAAATTGTAGAAATGCTATAAAGTTTTTTCTTCCGAAAGTAATAATTAATTAGAAATAAATATTAATTAGAAACTAATTGGTTTGATTTTGTATATTAATTGCATTCATGTCTTTCAGTTTGACAGAATTCCTAAATATTCATAAAAACATATTCGTTAAGCTTCAAGTGTGAGCCAAATATAGTAATTGTTGCTTGAGTGGTCGCAAACGACGACCACAACAGGAAAATATTAGTCAATGAACCTCTTAATGGCTAATGGGGATTCCTATAGTGGTTACGAAAGAAAAACTGGAAAGTAACCACTAGTAGACAAGATAAGAGATTATAGGGACTAAAGAGACGTAAGAGACACAGCCGACTAACATTGTAAAAAGTGATAAAAATTCAATTCCTTTTTATATATTTTTTCATCTTTTTAATTTTTCAATCACAACTACCACTATGACTTACATTTCAAATCATTCATGTTCAAAGCAAAAGCTTTCTTAGCATTCAATTTTAGTAGTAAACTAGAGAAAAAAATATGCTAGAAAAATTTAAATTTTTTTTTAAAAAATTTTTTAATTTTATTATCGACTACATTTTGCATGTTAAATCACCCATGCAACCCTTATAATAACGTACTCTATACAATTAAAAATAGGTTAACACAAAAGTAAGTACTCATACTCTTTGACTATGAATTACTTTTTTCAGTGGTAGTGAACTAGAACAGAATTTTTTTAAATAAACAAATTTTAAAAAAAATATTGGATCTTAAAAATTTAACATGTTTATATTCTGCATACTGTTAAACGTATTAACCCGTTTTGTCCTGAATTTATAAATTGAAATGATACAAAAAGTGGTTTTATGGAAAAAGTGGTATAATATATTATCGAAATTAATTGGTTTTAAAACTATTAAAGCATTCAAAAAGTCTTTGATAGATCAAAAAGTACTTGTTCCTTCGAATTCTAGATCTAATCAGAAATAACTAAATCACTGTGGTATCTGAGAATCCTTTAATTCACCCAGATAAATGAAAATACTGAAAAAGTTTCCCACCACAATGAATGTCTTTAAAAATAGGAACTGTCCTAAATATATGACGCTGGGCGTTAACCGGTTAACCTGTTTATAACTTCTGTATTTAAACCTGCATATTAATAGTTTATTTGATATGCATTAATATGTTTAAATGTTTTTAATTTTTTTTAATTTGTTGTTATCTTTCTTATGGGTCTGTACGGAGGATTTTTACACTCCAGCGAATGATATACATCAAGTGCTGCTGCTAGAAATATATGTAAAAAAAAGGTTCATTTAATAATAAAAAGCAAGGTTTTTAGTTTGAATTTTGATTGCTATTTTAAACTATTTTATTCGTTGCTTAAAATAATGGTAGATATGATATTATTCATCATTATATATTTTAAAAGAGATTTTTGATTGCATTTCCTGATTAATTAATAGTAAACCTATATGAACAAATGACTCCATGAGGCTACTGCAGGCACAAGGTTATGGAGATACTATTGGCATATTCTTATAGATAACGCGTGTATTTTCTTAGTTTAATTTTCTCTTAATTTTTAATTTTATTATTTTATTTTTCACGTGACCAGTGTTATTACCAATTTTAGTGACTCATTTCCTATATAATAATCGATCATTCTCGACCGCTTATCTAGAGCTCTGCTTTCAGCTTAAGTTTTCAATTCACATTTAATCTTTATCTGTCAAATTACTTTATGAAATTAAAACCAATATCCATTTTTTTATAACTTAATTAAATAAACATTAAAATAGATTTCAAATGTAGTTGTTTTTTTCTTTTCTTTAAAATAGAGTTTTACACAGCGTGTAGTTCAGTTTTACATATAAATTAACATTTATGTGGCCGAACGTTATTGTAACGAATATTTGCTTAAAAATGTATTTATTAGATAAAAGTTAGTTCCATTTTTTATTCTGCTTGCTTGCTGTTACAACAGTCTAAAAATATCATTTTTATAACAATGGTAAAATAGCCTTATTAAACGAGATAAGATAAATTCCAGAAATTTAAAAAAATTCCTGAGATAAGAAAAATTCCGGAATCCGGAATGCTACAAGTAGACTAATAAAGATTGTCACGTTAAAGCATTTTGTATTCATTTACAGATTTTTTAGTATTCTTATTTCTTTATTTATTCAAATATTTTGATTCTTTTTAAACATAAAGGTGTTACAATATTTTATATTAATTGATTTTACATAGTTTTTTTTTCGAATATTTTATTTTCATATGTGTAAATAAGGCAGAATTCATCATTCATCATAAACACTTTTATTTATTGCAGTATAATTTTTTTCAAACATTTTTCAACGGTATTTTATATTTGAGTAACGAAATATTGTGTACAAAATAGTTCCTATTTCTATAAAAACATTGAAAGTTGCAAAATACACATAAGGGCGACCTTTGTGCTGAAATACAAAGTAAGGTAAAACAACGTTTGAGAGCACAAAAAATATATAAATTATATATATTATTAAATTATTATATAGCACAAAAAATATATATTATATATTTTTTGTGCTCTTAAACGTTGTTTTAACTTACATTGAAAGTTGCATCAGTGTTTTGGAAATTGCATCAATATTTTGAAAATTTTTCTCAATTGTTAGACAGAAAATTTATAAAAGAACATAAAGCTGTACTTAAAACATCTATGAGTAATGTTTTATTACTGAAATAAGGGCTGATAAAGCTGTAAAACTATCAATTACATCGTAAAACATTAGCAATCTGTTTCAAATCATTGCTAAAATTTCTTCTCTGATGAATGTTTTTATTTGCGCTATATCTATAGCCCAACTAAAGAAATATATACATTAATTCAATTAAAATATCTCGAAACGTATTAGTTCTCAAACTATATCAAATCTATCTTTTTTTTTCAAATTAAAGCAAGGAATTCGCATTGATCAATTAATGTAACAAGGAAGAAGAAAAAAATTCCATTTCAGCATTAAGATATAATGTTCTCATGAACTTAAAAATAATTTGTAAGAATAATATTAAAATCCTTATTCCATTATTATCATAATGAATAAAAAACGTTGCTTTTACAGTACTGGAAAGTAAATAAATCCTGTTAAAATCTGGGTATCAGTTTTTCTCGTAACGTATAAATTCTCAACTCAAAACGTATAAATTCTCAAATTATATCAAATCTTTTTTTTTAAACAAATAAATAAAAATAAGGCATTAAATTTGAGTTTGTTAATTAACATAACAAAAGAATTTATTATCAGCATTTAAATAGAATACTCTCACAAAATGTAAAAATATTTTTAAGAATAATATTTAAATCATAAAATTATAATTATGTAAATGTATAAAAAAGATATTACTTACCGTACTTGAATGTAATTTTCAATCAATTAAATCCTGTTAAAATTTCAGTTTTTTCTTTGCCTTTTGCTCTCACTCTGAAATAATTTATAAACAAAGTAATATTTATACTTTTTAACCTCAAAAATATGAAATCTGATTAATATGTGGGAGATAATGCATAGCATAGAGATAAAACATTGTTTCAGTTCATCAATATTTTTATAAAACGAAACTTTTGATGATAAAACAAGTGATAAAATCATCATCTGTTTCTAACTTTGTGCTTCGAAATCGAAAACTACGGCTAATGCCCTTAAATTTTTCAAAATTAGGATAAGTTAAAAGTTATATGGGAATAATATTATTCTAAAATTCTTTGATTTAGAAAACAGTTTTTTGTGCTTGATTTTTTAAAAAAAGTGTTTTAATACGAAAATGCTATGCCTTAATTTACTTTTTTATTAACAACTGGATATTTGATTTTGTCTTAAACCGTTTTATCCCGACTTTTTATATTAAAGTGGTGCAAAAAATGGCCTTATGAAAAAAGTGGTATAATATGTTATTCATTTAAATGGCTAATATCAACTGTTTGTTACCATTTCAGTTCGAAATGTCCCTGCACCTTATAGTTATACATCCAGTGATAGAAACTTAAATCACTAATAAATTATGGTGGAAGGGAAACTTTTAATTCTCCTAGACAAAATTGAAACAATTGTCCTACCTCAATATATGTTTTTGAAAAAGGAAACTGTCCTATAAATATGACGTTGGGCGCTAACAGGTTAACCCGTACTGTCCCAAATTTATAAATTGTAATGATACAAAAGGTGGTTTTATGGAAAAAGTGGAATAATATATCATCGAAATTAGTTGTTTTTTTCTACTGTTAGAGCATTCAAGAAGTCTTTGATAGATATAAAAGTACTAGCTCCTTATAATTCTAGAATTAATCAGAAATAACTAAATCATTGTGGTATGTATGAATCTTTTAATTCACCCAGATAAATGAAAATCCTGAAAAAAGTTTCCCACCACTATGAATGTCTTTGAAAAAAGGAACTGTCCTAAATATATGACGCTGGGAGCTGACCGGTTAATGTTCGGTACCTGCATAGTGGTTTCCACCGATTCATCTGATATGGTAACTAAGGCTCCTATACTATCAGAGCTGACCTATCAAGCAATATTGGAGCAAACAAGTTCACAAGTTAACGTTATTTTAGTATTAGTTATATTATTACAGAGATGCCAACTGCTCTGGACACTCCAAAATCATTTAAAAAACGGTAAATAACTACAAAGTAAATTATGCATATAGTTGACAATATTTGCTTGCTTTTAAAAATGTAAAGCATGTAATAAATACAAAGTGGTGAATTATATAAGCCCACGCATTGTTTGGAAATAGTGGTGGCTTAAAATCTACTAAATCGAACTTATTAAACCAAGAATTACAATTAATAAACTACCACTTGAAAATATTTATTCGCTGTGCCTATGTTAGCTCTTTGTTCCAACAATAAATGATAAGTCGGCCTGTCTAATTCAGGGGCTCTAATGGTAACAATCGAGGGGATGAAAACGTCACTTGGAACAAACGAATATGGAAAGACAAACACAAGACATAAAATTTAAAAAATAATGAAAAGTTATGCTCAGAGTTAGCATATGACCTGAATAGAAATAACATTAACGCGTATGAAAATAACATTAACGCGTTCACGCCGGGGTGACCCACCGGTGGGTCACGCTAGATTGTCTCATCTTGGCAGCTCACCGGAGTAAAAACTGGTAACAAATAAATTTCATTTTTTAATTTTTTTCCGGGAATAATAAAAATCCATAACTACCAATAGTTTTTAACGGATGCAATTTTTATATTGAATTGCTTCTTCGCCGTGATAGATTTCCTTACGTTATTGTTAAGAATAGATTAACTCCTCCCGAATATTATCTAATATTGAAATAGTTCTTCTACTAGTATTTTCTCTTTTCCCGTACCAGTATTTTCACTTTTCCCGGCGTGAACGTGTTAATAGATACTATTTCACAAGTTATTCACATACTATTAATATTATATTTCATTTTATAACCGTCGTTGAACTGCCGACCCAATTTTGGGTTTACGACTACTAATGTTCAACTCCGTAGCCTTGTAATTTTGAATCCAATCCAGAAGACAAGAATGTTATTGTATTGGTTTAATTTTTTACAAAGAAATGTTTAATGCCAAACAGAAACCATTTATTGATTTGCGTTTTTCTTTCACTTATCGGTGAAACGTCAAGTTTCGAATATATTTATCTAATAAATTTAGATTCTATCTAATCAATTAATAGATAACATTTACAAACATTCGTGTTTAGAAATATGATTAATTTCATTGGCAGACATACTTATTTTTTAATGTTCAATTTAATTGTGATTTATTTTCCGAATCTTTTTTCGAGTGCTTTAGTCATAGAAAATTGAAAAAGGATTTGTATATGACAGATATCTATTTTTGCATTTTGTTACATCATTTGCATTTTATTAAAATTTTTGTTAACTATTTACTTGAATAAAAATATTTTTCAACAATTATGAAGTTGTTACTTAGAATTTATAATTAAAAATAATCATGAAACTTGTTTCTTCAAATATTATTCTATAAAAAGAAAATTATTTTTATTAATTATTCTTTATTTTTAACAATTTAGTATATCTATGATGTATCTTGAAAATTTTGAATGGAGAGATACAAAATACTTACTTCGTCGTAAATGAAGCAATTTTAAATGATGAAAATAAATAAATAATTAAATGAATGAATAAAATCTGTCAACTAGCTCGTGAGGGAGAAAGTTTAAAAAAAAGTCTTAGTTGTGTTTCTCTGGAAGGATTCCAATGATTTGTTCTTGGATTTTATTTTTAAAAACTACATTCTTTGGGAGTATGTAAGATTTTTATACCTTAAATTCAATTCTTTTAAAAGAAAAGCGTTTAATAAAAAAATAAATTACGAGTTCAATTTAATAATGAAAATGAAAATAAATAAAAAACAGTCTGGAAGGAAGAGTTTTCCAAAGTTCTGCAAAAGCTTCCGATTTTTAATGTAAATAAACATTTTCTGAACTATGGCAAAATACGTAAATTAAGACTAACAAAAATAAAATGGCTCAACTAGTCGTGGCTCAAACTTTCAATCACTCCCCTGATTATACTATTTGGACAAATTTTATAGATTGTTATTTTTTAATAGCCAAACTTCTAAGTCGTCAAAAAAGATATGATAATTAGCGTTGTACTAGAACTTTTCGTACAGCAAAATCTTTGTACATTTTTTATCTCTTAGGTCAATCGACTTGCGTTTGATCTCTTTCGAGTCAGCGTACTTTGCGGTAGTCAAAATAATTTCGAATATTATTTTTTTATTCTGTATGTGGAAATAATAAAGAAAAGAAAGGCGCCAAATTCACTAGTAATAAGTAGAGATGGGTCAGAAGTAATGGAGCAGTGACTTGTCACAGTGACTGAAAAATCACTGCTACTTTCACTGTGACAAATTTCACTGCTACTATCGCTGCTCCAAAAATCACAGTGAAAATGTTTTTCACAGTCACTGTGACAGCCAGTCGCTGCTCCACACGGTGCCTCTGGAACCATTTTCCTTGCTCCGTCGTGATAAATGTTGCTGTCATTTTCGATCGAATATTATAACGGTTAACGGCTTACAGTCACTGTTTGAGTTTAAACGTAAAGCCAGGATCACTATTTTGGTCATTTGCATAATTTGCTAGGATTTCTATAATAAGTGGTCAGATAAAATTGTTAGAAAATATGGAATCTTTAAAATAATCTTATCGCAGTATTTTTTCTCGCATATATTTGAATACGGTTAAATTTTTATTTACACTAAAAATTTAAAGCAAAGTATATTTGTCATTTTTTTTTCTTCTTTAAATTAGATTGGGTGTTTTATTATATATATGTATAAATTATAAAGTATATAAAAGTCAAAAATTAAAAAAATGTATAATTTTGCGAGTTTGTTAAATATGAAATATGCTAGAAGCAAAAGATATTATTTAAAGACTTTGTATTTTAACATCAAGTTATTTAAACATTTATATTTTAAGGTGTGAAATAAATAAAGTTTTCTATCTTATTTTTCCCCCTAATTTGGCAAGTTATTGCTTTTGTGAAATGAAAGTGACAAAAGGAAAAGAAAAGAGACAAAAAGGGAAAACAAAGATAGTACGAAATCAGAAAAAAATGAACACATCAACACTAATTTACATATGAAAATTATATATACAAATATTTTGGTTATAACGTTAACTATAATTTGGCGCACGAGAGAAAAAGTGTGTAGTGCTTACGAAGCTGTCCTTTGTCTATCGTTCGTTCGTTCGTTGTAGTGGAACTGGGAGTCTGAGGCATTACGGCCATTTTCCCACTCATCCTGAAATTAGACTAAGAAACATACATGACAAAATTAAAGTTTGGGGAGCAAATGGAGTTCTTGAGAAAAGAGAAATGGCACCTTGCCATTATTACGCAATAACAAAATTACAAATAATAAAAATGTACATGAAAAAAGGTAAAATTAAAGTACAATGGGAAAATAAACACTAATGAATATTTACAGTATGGGAATACATACAAAAGGGGGGTGAGTTAACCCCTTGGGGCCGGGTGATTCAGAGAAGCATTCGTACAAAATCAGAATCAGGATGTAATTAAATAAAAAACGGTAACTTAAATGTAGTCGTTGCTAATTTGACAGACTTACTTTGCTTTTACTTTAACTATTGTTAGTTTAATCATAGATATAATCAATGTCAATTCAAAGTATAACTAAATAGTTTTATTTTGAACAAAGTAATGGTGAATTAAATAAATCAAACAATTATAACTCCGCCCACAAATAAACTGCTAACGAATTACTTTGATTACCAGTTTTATCTTTTTACCCTGATTGATACGGCTTTCTGCTGTCACGTATTTGTGACAGTCGGCGCGAAAGGGTTAAAGGATTGTGAAGATGTGTGTATATGTGTAAGTAAGTGTGGCTCTGTTAAAGTAGAGATCCGGTCGTCCTGGTAATTA